TAAAGTGGGGCCTATTGGCTGATGGTAATCGAATTGGCATTGGCATTAGAATTCACATCACAGCAGCGTGCCCCAAAAATGTCCCACAGCACATTCTAACCGAATATTGAAAATATTTCTCAATGACAAGTAGAAAAATGTTCCCAAAATACAGATTGAAATATGATGTGAGACATTTTTTGGGCGTGCTCTATGGGGGTGCAGATGTGAACTCCTGGCATTATTGGAATTTGAAGGAGTGGTTATCTCATGAAGACGCTGGTATTTTGTTAAGTTCATTTTAATAAATTTATATAATATTTTAATTATTTTTTAAATCAAATTTGGATCAAGATGAATATAAGAGCGCTCTTATATTTATTTGTTTGGGTTGGGTTTTATATATAACGTCTTCACTTATATATATATTCCCTTTACTTTCTTCGATCGTTACAAGAATTTTTTTTAGTACGTCCACCCACCACATTAATAACCCCCTCAATCAGCGGGATTGAATCGGCGTTTATACTGGAACTTGGAACTGGAACGAACATGTTAACGTACAAATTATCAACTGAGCCACCCCTCAGTTGAATAACGGGGATTTGCGGGAGAGACGGGCGGGCGGTAGGCCTCCACCTCCAGGCTCCAGCAAAATAGTTATTCCGATGCAATGTCAATGAGCCAGCCGTTCCAGGAGACAACTGGCAACTGGGAACTACCGGTAAAATTATTCAATAAAATCCAGCAGCTTGGAAGAAATAATAAAGAGAGAGAGAGAGGGTTAGGGTTCGGCGGTTCGTAGGACCAGGCAAGGATCTTCTCCTTGCTTTTCCTGCTAACCTCCTCGATCGATCCCTTTGGATCCTCTCCGTTCGATCCTCTGAACAGCTTTTATGAAAGATATGACCACAGAGATTCTAGTGTTGGTGAATAAAGAAACGGAAGCGGGTGAAGACTTGGATCCGGATGTTGTGCATGTCGGGCCCAAGAGAGGGTGTTGTTTCTGGATACCATGTTTCTCTTCGCAGCGACCGACGAGGGGCAAGGGATCACTGTGGTGGGAGAGAATTCGGACGGCCGACAGGAAGGATAGATGGTGGTTGAAGGGATGGAGGAAGGTCAGGGTGTCGGGGCCGCGGTGGAAGGCTTTCATTCGTCGTTTCAAAAAGAGCAATGGCCGAGGTCGAGGTGCTAGGCTTGGGAAATTCCACTACGACCCCTTGAGCTATGCTCGGAATTTCGATGAAGGTCCAGGGCAATACGATCATCTCGACGATGATATCGGGTACCGCCATTTCTCATCCCGCTTTGCTTCAATTCCATATTACGCTAAGTCGTCTATGGATCCCCGTAATTTCTCGCCCGCCTTTCACGTAAGAAAACATTTACAGATCTGAATGAAGGCGGTAATGGTAATGCGCGCGGCGGAGAGTCTGAATGAAGGCGCTTCCGTCTCTGTGGGAATGCGCCGAGGAGACGAGTTGACTTGGGGGTGGACACCGCGGGGACTCGAGAGGATCTCCTATTCTCCTTCCTGCTTTATTATTATTTTAGAAACATTATTACTAAGCAGTTCTAGAAATTTATTATTGTTATTATCATCCTCTTACAAGAATAAGAATATGAAAGAAATAAGAGATCATTTGTAAATAAACTTAAAAAAAAAAAAAAAAACTAGTTTGAAACATTGTTATGTAACTTCAATTATTGTATAGCAGTGTTGTGTGTAAATGAATTTAGGGTGTGAATTAATTGTTTAAGAGTCTTGGATTTTAAATTCATGAGTCAAACTTAATTTCCTCTCTTTTTTGCTTCAAAATTTCTTATTGTTTTTATTAGTTTAAGAATGTATGTAACAAGATGATATCAGAGCAAATGATACTTGTTCCCTTAGCTATTGGATGATATGAAAGATAAAAGGTCAAGTTATGAGCTTGCTTTGTTAGTGCAAAATGAAAAGAATTCAAATTCTTTTGTTTTGAGTTTTACTTTATTGGCTTATTTCACTTAATTTGCACTGCAATCAAAATAAGGTAAAACTTGAAATAAAAATTAATCAGAATTTACACTCAAATCATTTAGGCTGCATTTGGATGCGATGTAAATCAAGAACTGATATAAAATTTACACCGGTTCACTTTTGTATGTGTTTGGCAAAAGAGTGTAATTATTGTCGACGTAAAACTACACTCTGGTTTAGTTTTGCGTGCATTTGGATGGAGCATAGTTTTACGTCAATAATAGATGTAAAACCTCATCACCTTTAAAGTTTTACATCGATTATTGATGTAAAAACTACATCGATTTTATCGATGTAAAACTTTACACTTTTTTACATCAATTTTCAAATTGTAATGGTCATTATATATACAGTTCAGTGTAAAACCTCATCAGTGTATTTTTACACTAATGACATTTTACACCTCTTCCAAACACTGTCTTATATTATTATAATTTTGTATCAGTGCAAATGAATTTGCATTGCAATAAGATCAGACCTTGGCAAATAAATTTGGCATTCTTTATTTTAAGGGCTTATCTCCTTTTTACTGTTAAGTCTGACCCCAAAAGACACATAAAGTCAGGTCAATGTTGATTTACCATTTAACCTGACCCATTGACATTACTAATTTTTTTTTGTTTACAAAATCTCCCTTGTAGTTTCACAAAAACTACCTTGGATCCCTTTTATCTTTGTCCTAGTAATGGATATTTCAAAGCTACAAAATTATTCTTGCATCTTATTAGGGCTTCTTTCAATATAATTCAAAGGGAAAATTCCGATTAGTACCCTATACTTTGGGCGTAGTGCTACTTTCGTCCTTGAACTTTAAAACATGATAATTCAATACCCAAACTTTCAAAACGTGTCAATCTAATACCTATCTTTAACGAGTTGTTAAGTGGCATTTGAAAACATATAAATGTCCTTCAAGTGTAATCTAATTCTCTATATCAATCATCTAAACATTCACAAAAAAATGAACAGTCCCAAATCCTTGCTTCATCTATTCAAGAAAGTTGGGGTCACGAGGCAAGGATTTGGGACTATTCATTTTTTATCAATGTTTGGATGGTTGATAAAGAAAATTAGATGACTTTCGAAGGGCATTTATGTCTTTTCAAATGTCACTTAACAGTTGGTTAATGGTTAGTTAACGGTAGGTTCTAAATTGGCAAATTTTGAAAGTTCAGGTACTAAATTATCGCGTTTTAAAGTTCAAGGACCAAAGTGGCACTAGGCCCAAAGTACAATATTAATCGAAATTTTTTCCTAATTCAAAATATCATATTTTCCCTTTTAGACTTCACTAGACAAAATATTCTTTTCAATCTGACTCAAGGAATTTTTTAATTAAAAGTGAAATTCTTTTGGGGTATTTTTGTAAATTTTCATCTGAATTGATAGGTATAAGGGTAAAATAGCTACTTTTGAAAAACTAATTCATTAGGCCAATATTTTCCATCGAGAACAATAACCAAAGGGATGCAATGCAGGTTTTTTCAATACTACAGGGGATGGTTTTGTGAAAGTGCAACCTCAAGGGGGGGTTTGATGATTGCCAGAAACCTTAGTGGAGGTTTTTATATTTGACCCTTTTTATAAGCAAAATATAGTCATTAGCTAAACAAACAAAAAAGACACAAAAGGGTTCTAATTAGGGCTGTCAACATGTTGGGTCTAGGTAAAACCAGTCTAGAATCAATTATTAATTGGACAAAATCACAGACCCAGAACCATTATGGTTAATAGTCGGGTCTATCAGGTCCAGACCTGATTATACTGAAAACTATATTTGTTTATTTAAATAATAACTTAAAAGTTAAATTTTGATAATATAATCTTAATGAAAATAATAAAAAAGTACTAAATTATTTATATGTTAATAAATTAAACATCTTTAACTAAATTATCTTATTTATTATCTATCAAATTTACCATTTCAAGCATAAAATATGATACAAATTATAAGAAAATTATATATATATATATATATATCCAGGTCTTAGCCAGTTCGGGACAGGTAAGAAATGGAACTCTCCATTGACCCATTTCTTATCAAGACAAAATCATGAAACCAGAACCATTATAATATGTTCTGTTTGTTTGGGTCCATTGGATAAGCCCAACCCATTGACAGCCCTAATTCCAATCAGTCGTGTAAATCATGCCAACATCCCTAGTCTTACACTGAAAATTCATAGTCAGTTGGGCTTTGGAATTCCCATGTCTTCTCACTTCAAGCTTTTATGACAAAAAATTTTAATTTCTAGAATGCGTTCTGTGGACCCAAAAAGGATCTCTCCGTTTTATTAAAAAAAAAGAATAGTAACGAATAATTCTTCCTAAGCTAGCTAGTTCAGTTATTGTGAAATTTAGCTGGCCGGGAAACCTGCAAATGCACAAGGCCGCAATGAATTTTTCCTCCTTTCTTCACGTTTCGATATTAGTTAACTACTTATTAAATAAGTGATTATTCCGGTAAGTGCTAATGATCCTTTTAGTGGAAAAAAAAAACACTTATTCCAAACAGGGGTAGTACAGATATTTTCAATGCGAACCAGTATAGGCCAGGAAGGAAATAAACACTTAAAAGAAGTTCAAATTTTAGAGTTTTCAAAATTCAGGCTTATTTTTCTAACACAAATAAGTGTTTATTAGTGTGGTCCGGGCCCATTAAACACTCCCAAACTTAGCCTTATAATCTGGGCTGTGCATTGTTTATATTTAGAATGAACTGTCTGGAACGGGCCAGACAGTAATAAGTTAGGCTCCATTTGGCACGTCTTTCCATAGTCTTTTGGCTGTTTACAAGTCAGGCAGACCATGCCATGATCTTTTTTTCATTTGGCTCGTAACAGATCGAGCCACCAAAAGTCGGTGCATCAAAAAAATACAAGAAGCCCATTTTGGGCTGATTTCAGGAAGGTCCAAATGAAGCTTTTCGTGTTTTTCTCGCTTTATTCAAGCACGGAAAGATGCACGGCAGTCAAACTAGTTTCAAGCTGCTCAAATCTTCATGCAAAAGCTCAATGTGTCTTTTGATTGTCAGAGCTACCAAATCTTCCCAAAAAGACTTGCCAAACGCCCCCTAATAACCCAGCCCAGAAATTGCCATTCTGCATCATCATGCATTTTCCGGTTCCGTAGGGAAAGGGAAATGTCATAATACCAAAAAGCTTTTAAAACACGCGTTGTTCCTTTAGATACAGTGTCACTACACCTAAACATTTTCCACAACAGCCAAACTATTCACGCTTAGTTTCTCATCTTCTTAACAGACTTGATGTTCAGTAGAATATCATCTAAGATCCATGGAAAACTCAGACTGTTCATGCCATTATGACAATACTTTGGGTGGTAAGTTACATGATACCATGCGGATGCCATCTTGTGACATTCATGAGACTTGCAGCTACTATGGAACCAACCCTTGGCTTCTTTTTGTAGGTTTCTAACTGCAATCAAAACCCGGTCCTTCATTTCCCCATACCTAATCTTGTCTCTCTGCAAACACAATGATGGGCTTCGCAGATTACCCGTCAGTATCTCATCTTCACTCCTGGCCCCATAATAATTCATTAATGTACTTAATTTCTCAGTGTATAACTTCTTGTGACTTTCTGCAGTTTCTACAAAAGATTCAAACCCTCTCACTTCAAGATCTTTGTCATAAGCAGCTTGAGCAACCTCTTCATTCCAGACAAAGTCAGGCTCTTGATTCTTGGTTGAGTCAATGGTGGACCGGTAGAGTTTACCTAATATACCAGGGGAGGCATACATTGGTCTGTCTCCTCTCTCCATGAAATCTGGATACTCTTTTGGTTTCAGTACCCTTGGCATCTCAGCTGGTGCCCCCGTCTTTGCAAAGTCAACAGCCATGGAGTGGAGGGCTGCCAACTGAAGGCATTTTGGACTCCTTGCTTTACTTGGTTCACGGTCTGCATGAATTACATGTGCAGTCGAAATGACACCAAGGGTATCATTGATCATGTAATTGACAAAATATTTCTGAATCTCCTGCATATTTCAGCAAAGACAAGAATAAGACGAGGCAAAGGCATAAAAGGAACAGTCGCAAGAAATAGAGACGCAAAATGGATCTCAGCCTACGTTACCAATTAATTGAAATTGATGTTGTTTCAACATTACCTCTAAGGTTACTTCATGATCCATCAAACGTGATCTTCTCCCAATGTAATCCATTGGGGTATCAGTCTGTGATGGGATGAGATTTTCATCCCAGCAGACAAAGAATAAATCGCCATCAAGATCACCACCAGAACACTCATTTGGATGAGGCCTGCATATGCAAATATCATTGATTAGAAGGAAATAACCTTTAGCAAACCCTTTCTTGTCTTTGTATCTTACTTCCAAGTTGTAGGAATAGGATTCACCATACAGTTGAAAGATTGAAAGCATTGCTTAGTAAGGAAGAAAAAATTAAAATAAAATGACCATGTTAAGCTTCCTATACTCTTGATCATTTTTCCTCAATTCCTCAATTAGAATATGGTTAAAAACTGCTCTACCAGAGAGGCCACTCTCAGTCATTATAACAGTAATAAAAAAGTAAAATGTAGCCTATGCCTGTCATGTGGAGGGATGATACGTTAAGTACAAACTTTTCACCATAAATGGGATCCCATGCCACCTTTTCACTCAACAACATCCCTTTATTTATTGATAAATAATAAAATGGTTATGATAATGATCTTCATCTGTTCCTTTAAGTATCAAATCAAACATTAAGCAACCTATCAGAAAAAAAAAATCAGACATTAAGCAGGAAATATGTCAAACAATTTGTTAAAAGGCTGTTATTTCTCTTAGTATAGTACCGCAGGAGTACTATTGTAATTTTCTCCTTTTATTTTTTTATATTCTGTCACCCTAGTATATATACCAAAAGCTGGCGCCACCAGCAGTACTTTTTTGGCTCTCAGTTCTCTCTTCTCTCTTCTCTCTTCCTTTCTTCTTCTCTCCTGCATAACATGGTATCAGAGCGGGACTTTCAGATCTGAAAGGAGAGGTCGAGTGAACAGTTTTCTTTGCACCAGATTTCCAGATCTGCCGCCCTCATCTCTTGTTCAGCTGATTGAAGATCAAGGTTTTCTCACACATTGAAGTAACTTCTCTCCCTCTCCTCTTTTTTTTTCTGGTCGTGTGCCAGGGCAGAACCTGTACTAGGTCTGCTGGTTGGATTTGAGGTGATCAGCACCTCTTTCTTTCATTTTTTGTGGGGTCGACTGACCCCTGTATAAACTGCAGGTCATGAAGACCTTTTGTGTGCTGCAATAGCAGCTTTTATGGTGGACTGAAGGTCAGAGAGTGACCTGTACTTGATGTAAGCCTGTAACAGCTTTTCCGTTGATGCGTAGGTCAAGAGATGACCTGTTAGTGCTGTAACAGCACCTGTGTTTTACAGAAAAGAGTTGTTTTTCCGAAGAAAAAAGGGTTTCCTTTCTCCTTTGGTGTTAGACCTTTTTTAAGGTTTTGTACCCACTTTAAGAGTGTTTTGAATCTGTAATCATGAGTGGTGAAGATTCTGTTACATCCAGTGTTTCCTCAATGCAGAATGGAATGAGTGGGGGTGTGGACCTATCCTTTCCCATGGCTGTTATTCCTCTCGATAGCTTAAATTATTTAGAGTGGTCAAGAGGGATAAAGCTGTACATCACTACAAGGGGAAAGATAGGCTATATAAATGGGAGAATCAAAGGACCCAATTCTAGGAGTGCTGAATATGACAGATGGAACCAAGAAAACAACATGGTCATGTCCTGGCTTTTAGTGTCTATGCAACCTCAAATAAGAAGGAATTTTATGTGGGCTGAAATAATCACCAAGAGGGGAAGGGAAAATTGTAGAACTGATAGTATATGTTGATGATATAGTTATCACTGGTGATTGGAATGATGAAATTTAGAAGTTGAAAAATTTTCTTGCTACCCAATTTGAAGTGAAGGATCTAGGTCCTCTAAGGTACTTCCTTGGGATTGAAGTGGCCCGTTCACAAAGGGGTATCTTTATTTCCCAAAGAAAGTATGCCTAGATCTACTCCAGGATACAGGAAAATTGGGAGTGAAGCCAGTTGATTCCCCTATTGATCCTAACCACAAACTAGGTGACTGTCAAGGTGAACCCATCAAGGATGTGAAACAGTTCTAGAGACTTATAGGAAGATTGTTATATCTTTCTATGACTCGACCAGACATAGCTTATGCAGTGGGTGTTCTTAGCCAGTTCATGCATGCCCCTAAGACTGTCCATCTTGAAGCAGCAAAAAGAGTTCTCAGATATCTTAAGAAGTTCCCAGGTGCAAGCTTGTTGTTTCAAAAGCATGGACATTTGAAAGTTGAAGTGTATACTGATGCAGATTGGGCAGGATCCCTGAATGACAAAAAGTTAACTAGTGGTTACTGTACCTTTATAGGAGGCAATCTAGTTACCTGGAGAAGCAAAAAGCTGAATGTGGTAGCTAGATCTAGTGCTGAAGCTGAATATCGAGCAATGTCTCATGGAGTGGCTAAAAAATTTGTTAAGTGAGTTGGGTTTTCCAGTTGACGGACCTATGACCCTATTCTGTGATAACAAAGCAGCCATAAACATCGCTGCTAATCCAGTGCTGCATGATAGAACTAAACACATCAAAATTGACTAACACTTTATCAGAGAAAAGGTTGTCACAGGAGAAGTGTGTACTCCTTATGTTAGCTTTGAAGATCAACTTGCAGACATCTTTACAAAAGGGTTACACCACTCACGGCATCATAATTTATGTGACAAGTTGGGCATGATTGACATCTATGTCCCAACTTGAGGGGGAATGTTAAAAGGCCGCTATTTCTCTTAGTATAGTACCGCAAGGGTACTATTGTAATTTTCTCCTTTTATTTTTTTTTTATATTGTCACCCTAGTATATATACCAAAAGCTGGCGCCGCCAGCAGTACTTTTATGGCTCTTAGTTCTCTTTTCTCTCATCTTCTCTCTCTCTCTTCTCTCTTCTCTCCTGCATAACACAATTCAAATTAATATTCCAGATTATAAATTCAAGTTAGATCATATCACATTCAAGCAGTCCTTGGGTAGTCAGGTATCAAATTATGCTTCAAATCTTTGGAATCCAGGTTGTAGTGCTCACTAAGATGGCTCCCTAGATCAGCAAATTCAGTGGCAATCGGTTAGCAAGACAGGGGGTTGGAACTAACAATAGTTCATGTGTACTGAGGGCAACTGGCCTGGGGTCATTGGCTGTACTCTCATGCTAGAAGTATGCTCTTGTTTTTTGTTTACCTTAGTCAGCGGTTTTCACTGTACTCACCCCACCTATATTCAAATCCAGATGTTGTAGTGCATTCTTATCTTCTTTCCTTAGTCATCATGGGTATCATTCTTTTTTTGATAATTTCATCATGGGTATCATGTTAATGATCAATAAAAAACAAAACGTAGAAGCTGAAGTCAGTATCCTAATTTAGTTTCAGAAAAAAGAGTCAAGCCCATACATATTGGAATAAACCCAACAGTGTGATCAGTAAGAGATATCAAAATCCAGGGACAGGTTACACATGGATGAAACAAAGATTTGACCATGGTTTTCAAACCATTGTTGACCTAGACAGTTGGATTGTTTGGCCTGGAAACTGGTCAGGATACCGTTTTAAATTTTACCCCAAACCATTTTTTACGCAAAAAATGTTTACTTGGTCAGCAACCCGCTTGACCCGGGCAATCGAACCATTGACCCATTCAACTTGAAAAACGGTTTTTGGGCAATTATTTTTATTTTTTTAATTTTTTAATTTTAAAAATTTTTAAATTGTCATGGGTCAATCCATTCGGACTGGATGGTTGAATCACTGACCTGGAAACTGGTCGTCAAAGCGGTTCCAGTTCCAGGTTGGTTTTTAAAACATTGGATTTAACTCTTATGTAACAGTTTACTGATAAAAAAAAAAAAACTCTTATGTAACAGTTCTAGTTCCAGTCCCAAGCTGCAACAGTGTTATCACTGTACCCATGATGCTTATGTTTAATCAGCTAAGCCACCAAAGAGATCTCATTTTAGAAAAACTATCTTTTTCACTAAACATCTAATCTTTCTATGCGGTAACATCATCTGACCTTATCAGCTTTGGGGATTGAAGATCTCTTAAGTCGCATGCTTAATCTGGGCTATAAGTTGATCATTTAAAATGTGGGGAGCCAATATAAGAATGCAGCAATGTTATTTATTTATTTATTTGCTCCATAGGCAAGTTCTGCCATACAAGGCAGGTCGTTCATAGGATAATAATAAGAAGAAGAACATACCTTTCTCCTTTTTGAGGGAAAACAAGGCAATCAACTAATCCCTTTTCCTCTAATGCTGATTCATAGATAGCATCAAGCACTCTGATATCACCAGGATGGAGACAAGGGTTTTTTGTGATGACCACCTTTCCTATTACTATTGATGTTGTCTCATCCACTTGGTGAAAGAAACTCTGATCATCATGACATTGCTCGGCCTTTGTCATGGTTACTCGAATAAAAACTTGACCATAGTTTAAAATGCCAGTCTCATCCAAGCATCCTAATAGTACACGGCCCTTTGGAACCAATATTCGGCATTTACTTCTTATATCAGACAACTGATGCTCCCGATGTGCTCTAAGAATCATTGACAGGTAAGGCTCCACACCTGGTTCATAACCATGCAGCAACATCTTTACTAGAACAGTCTTAGCATCTCCAGCTGTGCACTCCAAAACATCCAATGCAGCCTCTCTATTTGTTAACATTTTGTCTAGAAGGCTAATTTGCTTGCATTGCAGCATTTCAAACTTCTCATCTTCCACTCCCAATGTAGACAACAGGGAAACAATCTCCCGGTTCAAGTAGCAAGGCATGGACTCGCTCCATTTTGTGACATTAAGTGTTCTGTCATTAGAATCAAATTTTAGCATGCTTGGACGCAAAGATAGCTTGCAGAAAGAATTCCGATCAACAGCTATAACACCTTTATAGCCACCATACCGGATTTGGAAAGCAGAGGGAGTTTGACTCAGTCCACATTTCTGAGCAACTTCTCTGGCAAAAGATTGGGAAATTTTTCCAATGCCATCTGAGAAGCAATATTGGATACCATCTCTTGTAATTTCAACATCTGGAATGATCTCAACATGGTGTGCCTGGACTTTAGATGCTTCCACAGAAGAACTGAACAATTGACCCATTCTTGCAGCACATTTGGACACACTGCGGATCTTATTAAAAGAGCCCATCCATTCCCTAATGTTTTCTGCTTTCACAGTTTCATTAGAAGCAAACATCCAAACTGAATTTGAACGGAGTTGGCTTGCTGAGAAGGCTAAGAATTCAAATCTCTTAGCCCCAATCTTAATCCCATCTCGGAGAATAGACAGTATTCGATAGTATATTCTAGTTCTATATGGCTTTGAAAAAATACCTTCCTCTATACTTGTTGAAAGGGCACCAGAGTGAAGCTTGGTCCAATCTTCTTCAACAAAAGAGACTCTTAGAAAGTCAGAAGAATATGCAGCATAGTGCCGCACAACACAATTGGATTTCTCAAGCTCAGGACCCAAGCAGTAAATTTTTGTAGGGGTAACAAGTACTCGGTGGCAACTCATTAAGTTGCCTTCCCTTAACCCTCTTTGAGATGATGAGAGCAGACTTTTCTGATTTCTTAAGAGACTACTTAGCTGTCTCTGAATAATTGGTAGTGGATCATAACAAGTGGACTTCATCTTGTGCAACTGCAAAAGAAATCCATTAGCAGTATCTACACTTAAACAGCATAGAATCTCAATCAGGTCATCAGACTTTACTGCCCTCAAGCTAACTTTTTGAGTATGAACCAGGGAATTGAGCTGGTAAAGGATCTCATATGCCAATGTAGAATCTAATCCAGAATTTATGAGTGGAACTAACTCAGATTCACAACAGAACTGTTCCTCTTTTTCAACAATTAGATCACCTAACTCTTCTTTATAATATGGGAAACTTCTTAAAATATCTGAACTTAATAATCCCTCTTCAAGTTCCCAACAAAATGAAGATGACCACCCAATGGAATTTGACTCCGAAAAATCAGTTGTGCGAACCCAAAGAAACTCTACATCTTCCTTGCAAATATGGTACCGATCAGTGCTAAATTTTGAAGCAACAGTTGATCCAGAAATTTTCTGGTAGATCTTTGGTGCATACCTAAGCTGAAAATTACAGTTTTAAGGGATCAGTCAATAACAAAGAAATTTCACATAAAATCATGATATGAGGCCAGAGGTGGATGTGAGAACGATTGCAAATAGCCTCTAGAGAAGGTCATCTATACTACAACCATGATTTGCAGAAACCCAGAGGTGGATGCATATTGTGTCTAAATGGGTTCCCTAAGGTTCTCCTTCTTCTACAATATACAGTCCTAAAAATTTCAAAAGTCAAATAAATCTTTAGGGTGTCTCTTTATCAATATTAATGGTTTTACTTTTCAGCCCTACTTGCTGTGGTGTGGACTATATGGGAGGAAAGAAGTCAAAGAATTTTCTTTGAAAAAAGCAAATCAAAGGAGGAAGCCATAAAAATCAGAGCTGCACATTGGGTGATAACCATGGAACTATTCAAGAACATCTCCACAAATGACATTCTCAGGAACTGGACTGAAGTGGCACAAACAGATGTGCCAAAAGAAATTGTGAGAGTAGAGTGGAGACACCTGCACTAAATAAACTAAAACTAAACTTTGATGGGAGTTCCTTTGGCAACCCGGGAAGGGCAAGTATAGGGGGTGTGTTTAGAAATCATCAAGGAGAAGTTGTGGCATTGTTCTCAGGACCAATAAGTATTGGTGACTCAATTCAGGCTGAAACTATGGCTCTCCTACAAGGCTTAAAACTGGCTGAGCAGATTGGAGCAACAGATTTAGAAATTGAAGGAGACTCACTACGGGCCATTTCTTGGGCAAAGCAAATCACTGCAGCACCTTGGAAGCTCAAATTTATCTTTAGGGAAATTGACCTTCTTGCAAGGAGGTTCAATTCTCAGTTTGGTTGGGTGAAAAGGACAGCAAATAGTTTGGTAGATGCCCTAGCAAAACAGGGAGCAGATAGACCTACTTTGTTCTGGGCAGTGCTGTAATTGTTTGTAGTTTGGGAATGAGATGCTGATACCTATCTCTTGTACCATAATATTATCTTTGAAATTAATAAAAGTCTTATTTTCTGATAAAAAAACAAAAATAACTGCCATTTCAGAAAAACAATTGCCTATGGAATTAGGTATGCTATCTCAACAAGGCGGGAAGGTTGGCCTTGAGGAGAATTAGAATAATTGGCAAGGTGGTTGGGGGGTGAGGGAAGAGAACCCTCATTTTTCATTTTTTTCCTCCATCCAATCTCTTAATATCTCTGCACCATAAGCAAAATGATTGCTACTTAATATTGCATATTATACATGCCATCTTCCTTTTTCTCATTATGAGCTTAGCTTAGATCTTTTATTGATTTATTGACAAATAAAAGAAATAAGGGTATTGATTTTGGTACACTATAAACCAGGTGCATCTCTAGTGGAAGGACAAAGAAATCATTGATTGCAATGATAAAAGCTAAAACGTGAAGGTGTTTTTTTTCTTTTGAAGTATGTACGTTTTTGTCTCACGCTTAGACCCCTTTATCAAAAAAGGAATATGCCCAATAACTCCCCCAAAAGAAACTATCAAATAATTTACAATGGAACAGTTCACTGTTTCTATGAAAATCTAAACACAACTTTGACGGATGTTTTATACATGCATACCCCTCCCCCCCACTTAGCAAAAAAATGCCAGGGATTAGATCTGTATCCAGGCCATCATATTACAGATTGATGGGGGCTAGCATTGGGCAAGGTCTTACTTTAGTACTAATTAGGGATTTTTCATTCGTGGTCTTTGAACTAACCTGATTTGTTAGGGACAGCCTTCTAAATTTTGCTCTCTTTGTTTGCTTGTTTCCACATAGTACAGATTTTTTTCTTGGTTTGTTCTTTTTGCATCAACAAGTATGAGCTGGCTAAATATCAATAATATGTTTCACTTCATTTAGCTTAACTTAAAAGATTTTAAAACCAAAAGCAATTACTTGGCATCTGACTGTAACTTGGATTCTACACTTGAGTGCCCATTTGAAGACTGATCAACAATAGGAGTTTTCACCCTTCACAATAGAAGTGAATAATATAGAAATACCAGGCTTGCATATTCTTTGAAATTCTCCATCCTTTTAAGTTTCTGCACATTAAGAAACAACTTCTGAATTGGTTTGCAATGAACCAGTTAGAATTGGAGCTCTTTGCAGAGACCTCTTTACTCAAAACAAATGCCACCGTCATGCTAAACTTCATGCTTTGAGTAAAACTTGCCTTCTTCTCTTGAAAGATCTCCATCTTTCCTCTCATTTACAGGAAGCAAGTCAAAATACTGTCTCATCTCCATTCTTCAATTCCAGAAATAAGCAAGTGTAAACTTCCCCAGCAAACTCTTAACATAAACTGTGTAAAGTAATTAGCAAAAGTTTCAAGCTAAATAGTACAGCTTATAATGAAAAGGCGGAAATGTAACAATATCCTTACTGATAAAACGGTTTTAGCTATATCCATTCAACTGGTATTTTCTAGTCACTTCGTAAATCCAAAAAGTTAGGCACCCTCATCCCTTGCTAACTAGTTGGTCAATTATAAACTAAAAAGCAACAAAAAATGAAATATTGATATGGTAGTGAAGAGCCAAAGTATGCAATTACATATGCAGATAAGTTAGCTACATTGAACAAGGAATGGTACGCTCTATAAGATTGGCATAAAGTATGCAATTAAGAAGTCAAAAGTGATGAAGTTACTTAAACGAGTAAAGGATTGTTTCTTGACAAATTATTAACTGGCAACAGACACTGTAATAGAATCCCATAAGTTTCATATGAAACACACCCAGAAGAAAATGAAAATGAGACAAACATACCCTCAAAAGAAGGGCATTTGACTGCCTTCCTCTCAGACGGTACCCTGAAGCCGTAAAAACGTCGCTGAAATTGATCTCCAACTTATAACACTCCTTGCCTTTAAACACAAAAAACTCAACCCTTTTCCTCTCGGGCATAATGTTGGCTTTGACGCCTTTCCACGACTCAAGAACACTCAGATGATCCACTCCAACCAAGAAACCCACGTGTAAAACCCCTCTGTCGACCCGATTCCTAGCCTCAACCGGTCGAACAATGATATCTTCGAATGACGGGGAGATGACTAGGACGCTACCTCGGAAAACGAGTTTTCTTTGTTCAGAGAGGAGACTCACGGTGTTTGCTGCATCAATAGTCTCGAATTGAACTCGACCCAGCCCTTTCGACTTCCAGTTCTTATGCTCCGTCGCGATTTCACAGGCGAATACAGAGCCTTTGCCGAGTTTGGCCTCGAAGAAGTCGACGAGCTCTTGAGCAATGGCTGTCAACGGAATGTTGGAGACTCTCACCGTGGTTTTGCCTACAGCCATGGTACACTACACATAGACAGACGGACAGAGGGGGCCTTTCGCGGTTTGCGGTTTTGAGTGGCATTACTTATATATACCCTGTGGTTTGAAAAAACTTCTTACATAAACCTTAGAGTTTCAAAAACTAGCCCTTTCAAACGTTGACTCTAACAGATAAAATTTAAAGAACAAAAAAATCCTTAAATAATCATTAAATTTTCAAAATATGCCCTTCTCTCTTTTCTTCCTCTTCTTCTTCTTCTTCTTTCTCCCTTTCTCTCTTCTCCGCCGCTGCAAACACCACTGAAGGACAGAGCGATGCCGACTTTCAAACTACATGTGCACTATGCTAATTCATCATCACTTTAACGAAAAACAGAATAAAGCAAAATTTACCATCCTCTCTAGGGAATGGTCTATCTTCTTGCTCCGGTGAAAATTTATACACGAATTAATAGATCTCCTTAAAAAGTATATGTTAAGGGTAAATCCATGGTGTTGAAAAGGCAAAAACTTATTGATATTTACCAACATTTTCGTGTTTTATGATAAAATGTAATCACTTGAGAACGGAAAAAAGGGGAGTCTTATTTTGTATAATTTTTTTTCATTTCTCCTATATTTTCTGGGATAAAGGCCTCTTTCTCTCTTTCTCCACATTCTCCGCCATTAACAAGCTCCATTGCGGACGTCAATCATTTCCCTGTCAACCTTGACCTGAAATTTCATGGTTAAACTTGAGTGCTTAAAATCTAGCATAAACTCTGTATCTAACTATCTATCTACTTTCAATAGGGGAAACTGACTCTCACAATAAAGAGGCTTATGTAACAATGCAGATTCTCCTAACGCTAGATGGATGCAAGCATAAACCTCTGTATCTGCACTTTAGCCATGAAATAGGCGTAATATGGAGGCAGAGACCTCTGCATAAACTCTCCGTATCCACACTTTATAAGCATTAATATTTCTTTCCTTCAACTTGCCAGTCTTCAGCATTAATGTCTCTTTCTCCACGCACGAAAACCAAATGGGTCACTTTTCATCTTCGAGGTGAAGTAAGCAACAACCAACCCCAAAACTCAAAGAGGACTAGGAGAGAGAGAGAGAAATAATAGGACGATGAAGAGAAAACGGAGAGGAAGGAAAGATGATGAGGGGTAAAAGAGAATCGGTTCTTCTAAACCCCTTATCCAATCCGAAAAATCCGACAGGATTAATCCGATAAAATATGATCGGGTTCAAATTCCGATCAAATCATAATCCATTCAGTTTACAATGTCCTATTTATGTTATATTAGAGGGACCGGTGCTACGCAGGGCTTTGTTAAAAGAAGTTGAGTAGGCCTAACCCGATCCAATTCAATCAAATATTTTGTATAAGTTGGGGTTGAGTTTCAACTTCAAGTTAGGCTTAGGTCAAAAACCTCAAACCTAATCTAGGCTTAGGTCAAAAAACTCAAACTTAATCTAAATTCAGGTTGGGCTTGGGTTGAGGCCTTAGGTAGCCTGAGTCCAATTCGATCAATTTGGATCTGCCCAACATTTTGTGATATACATATCTATATATTATCAATATATTCTATCTAAAAATTGGGTTACAAATCTCAACACATCCAATCGCAAGCCCAATTCAAGACGTTGGGTTAAAGCTTAGGTTAGGCCTAGGTTGGTAAGAGAAAAATTACTGTTAATTTTCAATAATTACTGATAATTTACTAACCCAGGCCCGAGCTTATCAACTTAGGCCCAATCCGAGCTTAAAATAATAGGGCTGGACTTGGGCTTAGGCAAATTTAGCTTTATAGCTAAATTTCCAAGTAGAACATATTGATAATATGTAGATATGCATATCATAAAATGTTGGCACAAGCTCAAATTGGGTTGGTTCGAACTTAAACTATCCAAGGCCTCAACCCAAACCCAACCTAAGTTTAGGTTAGCTTAAGTTTTTTGGCCTAAACTCAGCTTGAAGTTCAAAAACTCAACATCCAACTTGTATGAAAGCTTGGGTTGAACTAGGTCGGGTTCAAGTTAGACCACCCAACCCAAGGTACACCCTTAGCTCCTTTTGCCTCAAATTCTTTTAACAAAAACTTGTGCATTGCAAGGTCCTCGCTAATAATTAATAGCACTAATTTTGATTTATGGTATTTTTTTTTAATTATTCACAAACATAGTTAATCACTATATTTTAAATTTGTTGAGTTGGGCCTAGTTGTTTTTATTCTTATTTTAAGTTATTTAGTTAGGAAGTTGTTGGACTTTAGGCCCATTAGTTTATGTTTTTAAGTTGTGATTGTTCAACTACATTAGTAGCCGCCTACTAAGGGCATTCTTGTAATATCTCAACCTTTAAGTTAAGTATAAATATAATGAGGGGTTGGCGGCTAGCGTTAATCTAAGAATCCTGGTTGACTTCCTACTCCTTTCTTCTCTACTACTGAAAATCTTCATCTTCCTCCTCTTTCCCTTTACAAGAAATTCGACTAAATCTGCAATCAGTGATTTCTACTAAATTTTATAATCAATATTTAAGAAATATTAATAAACTTATAATTATAGTTAATAATTCTTAATTTTGAATTAATAAATTTTATAGTTCTTAATTTATAAAAATATTACTACTATTAACAGTAATAATAGTTAATTTAATAATCAATTTAATTATTCATGAAACAATATTATTTTTTAAATTTTAATATTAATAAAATATTTAATTATTATTGGTAATTAATTAATTTGTTAGTAATATATCACTAATTAATTAATCATGAATTATTAATATATCACTAATATTAATTACTAAAAATAGTAATATATTTTGGTAAATTTTGGCAACTTTTTATAAATCATAGATATAAATAATAGATTTTAAGTGAATTTTGGTATTTTTCAATTAATCCTAAAAAGAATTAATTAATTTTTGGTAAACTATTAGAAATTTCAACAATATTAGTAATTAATCCCAAAAATATTACTAAAATGAAAATTATTAAATATTAAAATAGTAATATTGTTTGGGAATTTTTAATTAATCACGAAAATGAAATGAAATTATTAATTATAAACAATAGGTAATATACCATGCATTCAAAGTAAATGGGTCAGATTAATGAAAACCAAACCATAACCAATCCAATAAACCACATCACTTTAGTTAAATGGATCGAATAGTGAGTGAGTGAGTGAGAGAGAGAGAGAGAGAGGAGTTGAGCTAATCACGGAGAGTAGTTATTCGGGTAGAGAGAGTGAGAACTTGAGAGGCATGGTGATGTGGATTATCTTGCTTTTCTAATGTTTAGCCAAGTGGCATCACTTTCTCCTAAATTGTCTCTAATTCCTATTTATCACCGAAGTTATCTCTAACTCCTATTTATCTCTAGGGGTTTTCAAGGTCCAGTTTGGAGAAGATCTCAAACCAAACCGGTAAATTATGGTTAGAGAAATTTCTAAACTGAACCAAATCGTTTTGGTATGGAAACCAAACCAAACCAAATCGCTTTATTACGGTTTGGGAACTTTGGACCATTCTATGATTCTTTTGGGCTTAACCCAATTAGAATGACCAAATAGCTCCCCTAAAAATTAAAACATAAAACATTTATTTATTGTTTTGTTATAAAATAAAGAGTTTATTATATATTTATTATTTTATGCATTCCATTTAGATATATTATATATAGTATTTATATAACATATATTCATATTATATATATGTATATAAAATTTTGGTTTATGGTTCAAGTTTGGTTCAGTTTTTAAAATTCAATAAACCAAACTGAAATTGCAAACCACAATTTAAAAAATTCTCAAACCAGATCAAATCGTTTATAGGTATAAACCGAACCAAACCGCGAATTCGGCTTGATTCAGTTCGGTTTTGCAGTTTGAAGCGTATAATGAACACCCCTATTTATTTCTTAAATTAACTCTAATTTAGTAGAAAGACTCCCTCCTAAGCCATCTATAATTCCTATTTATCCTCTCCCCCACTTTTTATCTAAATCTATCTAAAGAAATTTTCAATTAAAAAGAAATTGAAGAATTATTTAAATATTATAACAAAATTATATAATAACTTTAAAATATTTATTCAAAACACAAAAATTAATTATAAAAGATTTAATAATATTCATATTATTAATAGTTCTATATTTTTACAAAATTCTTCATGAAATTATGTAGTAATAATATAAATTATAATTTTACAAATTATTCAATTTAAATGTTATTAAAATAAGGGAAAATTCCCAATAGGTATCTTGTACTTTAGGTCGAGTGCTAATTTAGTACCCGTATTTTAAATCGTGACAATCTAGTACCTGAACTTTCAATTTGCGACAATTTGGTACAGGGCGTTAAATTTAAGTTAGTTAGAAAATAAAAAGTCCCAAATACCCCCAGCTATTTGGATTACCGATTAAAATTGCAAAAATAACCCATCATCTATTTTGACCAATGCAAGTGGGAACCACTGATCATACTTGCTTTACATAGAATCTCAAAACCAGCTCCCTCACGCTGGTGGTGTCAAGCGAATGTACCGCCAGAAAAGTTGATTTTGACGATTGTACATGACACCGGAAAAGTTGAAGTCGAAGAATCTAATACCATTGCCGGAGGACGACTCCTATTGCCCGTTGCTGGAACATTACTGTGCCCACTGTTTACTCAGTCATTGCTGGAGAAGATGACTTATTGCCGGCGCCGAAGAGACAGCCAGAGAGGAGAGGGACTTCACTCAATTCCGACCATTTTACCCGGAGTTAAATCCCGCTCTTCATTCTGAGCATGCTACACTCAACTCCGGCGTCACATTTTGAGTGCTGGCTTCACACGGCGCTTCACCTGGCGGAGTACAAGTGCTGGTTGGTAGTGTTTGACAGGGGTGAGAGCATGCATTAAAGCTTCTCTACAATTGTTTCCATGCATTCTGTGACACTTGTTCGAACCTAGTTGTCTCAAGTCTCAACCCGATTTGAGCAAAAAGGTTTGCTTCACCCATATATAGGAAAAGGGAGAAAGAAAAGCGATGGATTACCGGAAGACACACAGATGGGCCTCTTCCGTTTCTTTCTCCAATTACATAACGGAAAAGACTTCACGAACAAGGTAACACATTGAGATTGCCAGATTGGGTCTCTCCTTCCTCATCTAGTTCGTCTAAAACATTGTTGAAATTGTTTTTGTTTTTGGATCTTGGGTTTTTAGCATATAAAGGCAATTTTTGGGGTTTAATATCAATAAAAGTAATATATTTAAAAAATTTTAAAAAATAAGTTAACTTTTTAAAAATAATATCAAACAGTTAAAATAAGTTGACTTTTTAACTGTTTATCTTCTTCTTCTTGCCATTTATTCATCAAAACCGTTGTTTGCCGCCCGCCACCACCCGCTACTGCCGTCCGTTGCCACCTGCCACTGTCTCTGCCTCTGGCAACATTGCTAGAAGTGGGGGTGGCGGCGCTGGTGGTCATTCCTCTGCCCGCTGCCGCCGCCACCTCTGTCTTCACCCATCTCCGGCAATGTTATTGGAGGCCGAGGCGAAGGTAACGGCGTTGGACAGAAAAATCACCAGCGCTGCCACTGCCACTTCTGCCTCCGGCCACCTCCAGCAACATTGCTGGAGGCGGAGGCAGCGGTGGGCAGCGGTGGGCAGCAGCGGGCGACGGTGGCAGGTGATGACGGACAGCGGCTCTGGTGAATAAATAGCAAGAAAAAGAGGATTAACAGTATTTTTACTCTTTATTGATATTATTTTTTAAAAATTAATCTATTTTTTAAATTTTCTTTAAATATATTACTTTTATTGATATTAAACCCCAAAACTTGCCCTTATATACTATTACCCCTTGATCTTTCTCCAAAGCTCTCCTTTTTTTATGATTCTCTTTTTCTCTTTGTTGTTTGTTGTTTCTTTTATATGCGCTTTCATTTTCTGGCGTTTAGTCTAATATTTTGTCTCTTTTACTGTCCGTTTCTATGATTGAGATCTAGATGGAATTGATCTCCGTCGTTGGAAGATAAGGGAAAAATGTTGCCACTGAAGCAAGCCGAAGAAGCGATTGTCTCGAACTTTAACGAGACGGAGCATGAAGGAAAGGAGGAGGAGAAGACAGATCAGTCCATGTTTAGCGTGAAAGCCTCCTCTGGCGTGGCGG